ATGCGTCATGAATATGTGTGTGATTCTGAATATGTATGTGATTCCGGTTTTCTGGTTTCGACTCTAGCTTTGTTCAGGGGTGCCAGGGACTCGGCCACCGGACGGTTGGCTACCGTACTATGTGAGGAATGCCCTGAGTCCGGACGGTTGGCCGTCGTGGCGTGTGGGGAGTGCCTTGGGCCCAATGAGGTGACTCTGATTCTGATTTTAGCTCTGATTCTGGCTCTGGCTTTGGCACGAGATCTAAGTGCGACATCTGTGCTCTGTGACTTTGATTCTGAATCTAGAACGCCAGGGGCTCTGTCGTCGGGCAGTTGGCCACTGTCGCACGGAAAGCGCCCTGGGTCCATCTGTGATTCTGATTCTGCTTCGGGAGACCAGAACTCAGCCGATGGACGATGGGCCCCTGTACTATGCGGGGAGTGCCCTGGGTCTGGACGGTGGGCCGCCGTAACTTACGGAGAGTGTCCTGTATCCACATGTGACTCTGATTCTGATATGTGTTATGTGTTATGTTATGATACTCTGATTTAATTCTAATTTTCTAGTTATGACTGTGCATATGAAACTACATGTATTAAGTTAAGAAATGTGATTTTTGCAAACTGTGCTGTTAATTGTGTGATACGTGAATGAATTTTGAATGGTTTGAGTTTTTGTCATATTATGCCCAGTTAATATTGTCATTCACTAAGTTATATACTCACCATTTTTTCCTCCCCACCTTTCAGATTTCAGTTTTGATCGACAGCGGTAATTCCTACGACGCTTTCGTCACCGCTGCATTGACCTGATTATATGGGCATTTCTGTATATTTACCTTTTTGTACTCTAGACGCTCTGTATACAGTCAGATATGTTTTGTTATGTGTATATATGGACAGTTTCTGATGATGGGTGTTATTGCTTCGATCTGGTCAGAGGCTTACTAGGGTTGGTTTGCCAATCCTAGTGCCGATCACGCACCTGGGTTAGGGCGTGACATATTGTCTCCCATAGGTACATAAACGGGTCGGATTCGGATCAAATTAGGATGATCCAAATCCGAATCCGATTATCAATGAATATATCCGAATCCGACCCGAAATCTTATAGGATTTATACTTGTTATTACTGAATCCAAATCCGATAAAAATTTGAAATCCGAATAAAAAATCCGATCCGAATAACTACTAATAATAATTAAAATCAAACAACCAATAAGTAAAATATATGTAAAATTAAATAAATTATTATTTATGAATGATAAAAGTTCATGTAAGATTACATTGAATTATTTTGCTTTTATTAAAATATAAATAAAATTCAAAAATAAATTTTTATTTATGAATGATTAAAAAGAACTTTTGTTATATAATATATTACAAAAATAATGATAGGATTCCAATACTTTATAAAATTATAAAGTTTTATTGTATTATAGTTAGAACTTAGAAAATTTTGTAACCAATTTATTCAAGTGTTTCACGAAATTTTTAAAGTAATTAATTATTAAATATAATACTTACTAGAAAAATTAAAATTAGGAAAAGTTAAAGAATATTATAGAATAATTTAGAAAAAATATACATTATTCTATTAAATAAAATGTTTCACAGACACAAATTAATAAATTATTAATTTTAATGTCATATATATTGCATTATATATAAAACTATTTTTTAATATATATAATTATTAATTAAATAAAAATTATTATTAAAATATTCGAATTCGGATTTTTAACGGATTGGATTGCTTAATTCCATATCCGATCCATTTATTTCGGATTACAGATATTTATAATCGGATTTAATCTATCGGACATTTTAATCGGTTAAATGGTTTAAAATTCGGATTAAAATCCAATCCATTGACAGCCCTAGTCTCCCAAGCTATTGATTATTTCAAATAGTCCTCTAATTTGGATTATTATATATCAAGTTAATTTTAATTTATTAAATTTATTGGATTTGCTTAGCAGTTATTTTTTCAATTATCAAATTTGTAATTATGTAGGGGTAGAGAGTTTGATAGATTTAATTTATAAAACATAAGTTCAAATTAAACCAAACAATGAATTGTGGTTTGATTTGATTTTTGAGGATTGGTGATTTAGTTTAATTTTTAAAAATTTACAAATTGTGAGATATGGTTTAATTTAGAGTTAAGTTTCAAATTAAACCAAATCCAATAATAAATACCCTAACTTGAAGTATAAAAATCTGAGTAAGATATTTTAAAATGATAAATAATCTAAATGTACTGAAAAGGAGAATCGATTGAACTTTTAAAGATGAAACTTTCAGACTTGACCTTTAAGCAACCTTGTTTGATGTCTTAAAGACCTGACCAAACTCAAAAAGCAACTACTTTTTTTGTTAAGCCCATGTGCACAATTTTATAACTTTTTATCAAGCTCCCAACCATTAGCTCTCTAACGTGGGTGCATTGTTAAATCCTTAACTAAACACTTGGTGTTTATTTTGGGTTAAAAAGGAGATTGACCATATATAAGCATATGGTTGCTTATTATTACATATTATAAGAAGTAAAAATGCATACATAAAACCTAACTAACACAATCTATGAGAATCTAATTTAGTGTGAGATTCGGAGGTGCTTGCTAGAAACATCCTTGTAAAAGTTTCTAGCATAATTTTATATGTTTTTGCCTTTTTCTTTGGGTAAGTTAACATGTATATATCTTACCAAACATGTTTATAATATTGGGCAACATAAATATTAATGTAACATATTATTTTTGTTTCAGTTAACAAATGTTGCAATTCACCTCCTTTTGCATGTTGTATGCTAAAGTGTTTTCAATCTAAGATATGATAATTAATAAATTTAATTTTCCTTTATACTAAATAATATTCATCATGAGCTAATAAGAAACCTTACAAGTACAATGGTTTTTTAATCTCTAGTAATAAGAAAAATGTTTGTGCAAAAAAAAAAAAAAGGGAAGGGTAGACATGATTACTGTGAACTTGGTATTTCAATCATAGAATTTCAGTAGTATCTAGTTAGATTAGTAGGAGGGAATTCGAGCATGGGTTTGATTTCTCGATCATTATCATTAGCCAAACTGTATACCATAATCAAAAGCCTAGAGAGAGAGAGAGAGAGAGAGAGATAGGCCGAAATTATTCAAAACTTTACACCTTCAGCAAAAGCTTAAAGTAGTTCCCTTTACGGAAAGACGAACAATTTCTCTACATACATGAGAGAGAAATTAATTGAGTTACGTAAACTCCCACTTCAGCAAGTGTATGCGTGAGTCATACAAGACAGAAACACAACGTATAACTTGGAACCTTTGTGTGAATAATTGTATCTCAAGAAACTGAAAGGACAAAAGAAAACAAAGCTTCAAGTAGACAAACAACTTGTATCTCTGTGGAGGAGGGGAGAGATGGATGAATGGGCAGATGTCATACGTAGTAGGAACAAGAGTACATGGGTTTAGAAAGAGCGATCAGCCAAGAAGCATGTGGGGAACCATTCCAAGGGGGACAAGAGACGCCAATTGAGACTCTTTAAGACACCCCCACAGATCCATCCGTTAGGTCACTGGACCCCTATTCTCTGTCATCTTCTCTGCCTTCTCCATCACTCAATTTCTTCGGTATATTTTTGGGTCCCCCAAAAAAATTTAAAAAGAAAAGAAAAACAGTTCTCACCGATTGGTAGGGGACTTGAATTGGGATCATTCAATATATTTGGGGTATACTGACTTGTCACCATCTAGCTTGGCCAACCAAACTGCAGTTTCAGGACAAAAGGACCATAGCTTTTATTACATATGCAACAATTTGTTGCCTCATACAATGTGTAAACAACTAAATATGCATGCGTTGAAACAGAAAGCCGCATGGAGCTAAGAGTCCAATTCTTACAAGAGATCCAACAATACAATAAATAAATAATAAATAGAAGGAAAACCATATAGATTTTATTCAAAAAACCAAAATATTTTTCTAGTGGATTGACGTGATAGTTGAGATATTTTGATCCAAATTTCAGCCCAGAAACCTGAAAGAACCCTCGAACAGGTTGAGCTCAAGCCCAGCTCTAGCCCAACTCGAGCCCGCTCCTAAGCCTGCTTGCCCTGCTTCATGCAAGTCTGTTCCATGGAAACCTGGATTGATAATCAGATAGAAGTGTTCTTTTTATTTTTATTTTTATTTTTTTTTGTACTACAAAAAAAAGTTTCTCACACTGAAATTCTCCAAAAGAGAGAAGATTCCCCATGATACAAGTACACAACTTCCAACCATACCTAACATACCAAAGTTTAGGTTAAGCCAAATCTGGCAATTCTGCCTGTTGAATAGAAGTGTAGCTTTCAGCTCTGAAGCAGCAAATGTTCATGTAACCAAATCCAATTATTCGATAATTGCTCTTTACAAGTACAAATCACAATAAGCAAATTAACCTGTTAATTTCGGCGAGCCAGCCCAAGATGCCATCATATTGACCACAAAATATATGAGAAAGGACCAGAGACATGTGGCAAATAGATTTACAATTGGCAATATACATAAGAATCCAATGAATTGTACCACCCCTCTAATATCTAAAAAGAAAGATAATCCCTCCCACGGTGCAAGAAAGGAGAAGGTATAAATAAAGTGATAAAATAGCGTAGTAAAAAAAAGGGGAAACCTTGTAAGCTTTCATGCCTGACAAATTTTTATGATCTTCCTGCAAAGTTCCCATCAATCTTCCAGCATTCCAATCCTGAAGAAGCTTGCACAGATGTTGACTTCACTCAAAGGGAGTTTCCTGCAGCTTCAAAATTGTCCTACTTTTTGGGCCTAGTAATCCTCTCCCACATGGTAAGATGCTCCCACCGACCACGTGAAATCAATAATTTCCCCAAAATCCCAAAGAATTGTTACTTGAATGAGTTGATATGGAAACTTGGAGAGACAGAACTCTTCATTCGCAGTTTAAAAAGTTTCTATGGGTATAAGACTATTTCTGGTGGTATTTAGCTGCTGTGGGAATATTTACTCTGCTTTAAAAACCTCTTTGAGAGAGAGAACATCATCACGCGGATAAGCTTCTTCTACTTGAACCTCCACTTCATCACCAACCTGCACCCCCACAGAGACCCATGCAGAAGCTTGAACTCCTACCTGCAAATGGTAAAAATATAGTTCATTCACTTGTATGATAGAAAAGCAAGCATGGACCAGTGGCACTCTGCCCATGATAGAGAGCCCCAACAGTAGAGGTTTCAAGTCTGACTTAAGAAGGATCATGATAGTGAGTTGTGACTATGAGAAACCATATCACAGTTTATTAAATTTAACAAGGAAATTCTTCAATAATGCCAACAGATTAGTGAAGTGCAAAACCTCAAAGCCACAATGACACCAATGCATAAAATAGTGCAGCTATAAATTAAGGAAACAATTGTGACTAGCATAAATCTCTAATTGAAGAAACAGGACAAGGAAAATAGGAACCATGCTCCACGTACACATGAAAGAGCAAGGCCACAATTGCAAAATTTGCTTGTAAAAATCAAAGGATAATGGCTTGCTTGGGAAGGATAGAAGAAGCTTCTCTCAAGGAATGCAGTAATGCCATGTCACATTTTTGGTTCACTTTTTTTTTTTGGGGGGGGGGGGGGGGGGGGGGTGCTGGGTGGGGGGGCCATATATGTTTCAATAACTATCTCACAAATGCTTACCTCCAGTAAAAGCAATGCTGCAACTCTATCTTTGATGAATCTGAGGATCAAAGCGCTTCTTGCTTCCTTTGGTTGTCTTCTCAAATATTCCAATATCCAATAACGAAGAGCACTGCTGCAGATCCTTCTTACTAGTCTAGTGTTCATGTTCACTATTGATGCCATTCCTTCTAGCTGACCAGCTGAAAAAGGCGCAGAATCACCTCTAAGGAAGGCTTTTACCTATACATGCACATGCATAATTGAACTGGTCAAACATATTTTCTTACTAGTCATGACCATCAATGAACAAAGACTTGTCAGATTAGAATATCACATTCCAAAATTATAATCAATTAAAAATTCCAGTAACAAAAGAGTTGAAAAATCAGAACTTTGATAATCCATCAACAAACACAATGTTTACTTCATCTTTGAACCATACTAGCCACCATCCAGGAGACAGAAAAGATTGAAATATCTGTGCTTCCTCTAATGACCAGATTAGGTCCTCTCAGGTAATCACTGCACAACATGAAAGCTTCCAATCTTTGTTTCCTTATTTAAAGATTTTTTGTCTAAAAAGCAGTGAAATTACCCCAATAATAGAATCAAACTATGGATAGCTGCAATAGACAGCTATTGCAATCAATGACACTCTTGCATTAGAATTTTGAACCAAGACAAATTATGAAGAAACTTAACTGAGGGCCACTTTTTCATGCCAGAATAAAATAAATGGTTGGACTGCCAAGCATGAGAAAGCAAATTCAAGTGTGAGGGAAGCCACTTATAGAATTCATGGCAAACATAAGGTCTTTTCCCATCCTATACTACCCTCAGACTGATAGAGAAGGGAGATCAAGATTGATTATTCTAAATTTGTTTTTATTTAATTATTGTAAATATTTAGAAGAGTCCTTGTCTATCTAGAATCCTGGACTTTAATCTTATTAGAAGTTGCCTTTTGTTTAGGATTTACCTTAAGGTTTGAGTTATCTTTAGGAAGTAAAAGTTGATTAGGATTAAGATTCTCAGATTATGTGTGTGTGTGTGTGTGTGTGTGTTCTGTTGATATTTTGAACAATTTAGTCTTTTGATCATGACTATTATTGGAGAACACTAAGTTCATTATTGTTGAGATTTCTCTCTTCTCTTGGATTAGAGATTCTTCCTACATCAAGTACCCTCCACTTGGGACCATCACTGATGAATAGCTTTCTAAGAAAGCAACTTAGTTAACAGTAATTCAATTAGTTAACAGTAATTCAATTTCCAGCAAAACACCCAGAAACCATTTCAATATTAATATGCCAAAACTTGCCTGATAATGAGCAAGGAGATCCATGTATCTCCGAATGGGAGATGTAAACTGAACATAACCGGGGAGTCCCAAAACTCCATGGCGTATAGGCTTCCTGAAATCCAACTCAGCCGCACGCATTGTTCTAACAATTGCTGAACTCTTAACAGGTCCTTCAGGCAGATGGGCAAATGCAGAAACATCAATGTTTGACTGGGGCTGTCCTCTAAAGGGTAGTGGAATATTGTTCAAAGATCCAAAAGTGGCTATAGCTTCACCACAGAGTATCATCATCTCAGAGACAAGCCGCATTGCAGGGTCTGCCTGGTTTTCGATATATAGATTGATTGATGGCTCTGGATCATCCGGATTATCCACCTTGATCCGTGTCTCTAATGTGGCTGTGTCAATTGCTCCCTAAAACTCAAAGCATAATGAATCACATACATATAAACTGTAAGAATTGCAAAAGTTTCATTGCTAAAAATAACATCTCTGAGGATACAGTTACTACTGAAGGATAAAAACATAAAAGGTAGAAGGTTATGGAGTTCATTTATATGAAAGTGAGAAACCTGATTAAAAATCCTGGCTCACAACTTGAGTGTAGAACGGGAAAGACAGGAACTTAAAGATTGAAAGCATCATGCATAAGCGAGAATGAATGTAATGAGAAGCAGCTAAATTTTGGGGTTAGGTATGAATGAATGTGGACTATAACGTGCTTCCCATATTTCCAGATGAATAACATGTTATTATATACAAAATAAAAAAAATATGGGGAGTCTAGTGTGTCCACTATCTCTCTCTTGAAAGGGTATACAAATCAACTGCAGAGTCAAATGTCAACATATTATTCACTTGAGTGTGTGTCCTTTCAAAACCAGATAACAATTATGAAAATGTTACATGTCCATAATAAATGCACCATCAGCAAATAAACAAACCCAAATTATGTGGTTGTCTGTGGGTCATATACAAGAGCATGCCGTGCAAAAGAGGCATTGATGATGTAATGTGAACATGTTCCTAGTAAACCTGTCATTGGAGATTTCAAGTTATAAGGTGAACTATATGCACATTATATTATCAATTTCTTACATGGCATATAAACACCAATGTGATAGCTTCAATTCATTCACATCAATGGATTCAGCATTTATATTCACAAAGCTGTTGAAAACAAGGTTCCGGACCAAACATCTGGACCCTCATTTTCTGATTCAACCTGGTTGACCCAGCCTGTCAGGTCAAATTTCATTAACATATATATACTTTAAAATTGGTAAGTCCATACTCCACCACTTTATTTTCTGATTCTTTTGTGATTTAAAAACAACATATTCTGGGGCAGAAAGATTGAATGTACAAAAGTACTCATGTGAAATGTCTCAATTAGTCTCAAAATAGTTGATTTGAAATCTACTTCATAACTTTAGGATGCAAGTTCAGGAAACAAAATATTTAATCAACATGCCAATGCAGGTGTTGCCAACAAATGTGATGCAGATGGAGATAACATGATTAACACTATCGTAAAGGCTTGGACAATACCATGAATATGACAATGCAGATCATATTGCAATACTTAAGACCATAAATAATTTTATAGTGGCAGCAGGGAACAGGATAGCAGTGCAAGCTAGCTGCAGCACATGTATCGTTGCAATAACGCAAGAGAAATTGCTATGATGCACTAGGTTTCTTTGTTGTTTCAATTTCATATTATAAAGGCATTGTTCACACGTACCGTCAGATTGCAACCTAAACATGTTGGTAATCATTGTCCAATTATCCAATCCTCACTGATGCATGAAGTCCTAAAATAATTCAGTCAACCACCCAATGAAAGGTACAACAAGAAAGACAAATATCCTGATGGATAAACCTAAATAATATAAAAATTAAAGTTCTTGTTCTGAACTATATGCTAACCAACCTGGTTGCGACGCCATTGTAGACGGAGAGCTGCAGCCTCAGACAAAATTTTCAGTTCAACTTCCTCCTCTAGATTTAGGTAAAGCAGCTCAGTCGCACTCTCATATGTTAGCATATAAGTAGGCTTAATAATAGAATTATCCACTGTGTATTCTGCAATACTACAAAACCAAAATGAGCTGTGAGATTGCAATCATAGAGTAAATATTACACATTTCATTATTTAGCGATGCTTAGAAAATACAATTATTGTTTATATTTTATACTGTTTTCTATGCCCCTGCCATAACTAGCAAAGCAAGGAGCCCAGTAGCCTAGTAACAGCCAGGTCATCTTGTCATTTTATATTTTGATGCATATTTCCTGTTCAATAATCATTGCCTCTGCTTCCTCACTATCATGTAGAATATTAACCTTTCCTTACCATCAAATAATCTCTTTAGGTAATATAAGGTCAATCTAGAGGAACCAAAGGAGTAATAACACCTATAAAACTTTTATGGCTTGACTACTCAGTAATTGCTCAGAGCCATTTTTTTATCTGCCAAATACATGACCAACTGGAAATCTCCATTCTTCAATGTTTGTGGAATGAGTAGAATCCAATTTAATATGGACTCCAAAAAAGAGTTGGAATGGTTTATCTTGGATTAATTTAATGTCTTTTCTACATGTGATGTGGCAGGTCTGGAAAGATATAAATGAATGCATATTAAGAGCAATTGCTTCAATACTTCAAAAGCTGTTTCAATAGCTATTCTGTATACAAGAGAGAATCACAGAAGCCTTTGGGAGGAAAACAAAATCCTTCACATTAATATTTCCCCCCTAGTGAAGTTAAAATCAAACTCAATATGGACAGAAGAGTGCCAGGGATCCCAAGGGTAGTTATGAAGTACGATTGTTCAGGTATGATCCACACAGATGAATGGTGGATATATGCAAAGCTTTTTCTTTTTCTTTTTTTTTTGGGATGAACTTAGAGGGCTCTGGCCAGGTCTGAGGAATCCAACAACCAGGAATTCTCAGTTATTATAGAAGAATGCAGATTTTTATTAAGCAGCATGAACTGTCCAATCACCCACATCCTGGGGGAAGGCAATATGTATGTGGGTCTGCAGTTAATACTGAAGCAACTATGATTCAAGGATGGCTGAATGTAGAGTTGTTTATGTGAGACCTCAAGGGTATGTAACAGAAGTTTCATTAATAGTATATCAATAGGTAAAAGAAAATCTTAGCATTCATCTCAAAGCTGTGAAAAAGGGGAAAAAAATACCTTCCATCAGGATGAAGTATGACAGACACAGAAACAGCTTTACAAAGTGATCCTTGCTTCAAGCTCATTCCCTCCATGGCAAGTTTCTCAGGAAACATAGGATAAGTAGCAGTGGGTAAGAAAACAGAAGTTCCTCTTTTCAAGGCCTCTCTGTAAGGAAGCACTATGTTACCATCTGTCATGGCTCAGGTGTTGCAACTACATTCTAGTAGGAAGTAATGTTACCTATCTATTATGCTCCCAGGATGAACTAAGCTAGCTGGATCTGCAACATGTATCCAAACTTTAATCCGACCATCACTCAACCTTGCTGCACTGAGTGCATCATCAAGCTGCACAGCTTGATTGATCAGTGGCTTGAGAGTAAAAGGTTCAATAAATAAATAAATAATAAGATCTTTCTGAGATCTCAGATGTCAGAATTTACCAGATACCATAAAATGAATTTAATGATAAGCAATAAACAATTTTTCTTTCTTTTACCTCATCGGCCTCATCAACATCAATTGCATAAACCTTAAGGTGAGTCAAATCGATTCTGTCCTCCTGTAAAGAAGAAGCATCAGTTCAATAACTTCAATTGAATATATAGCATCAAAGTTTCAGTTTAAGTGCATAAATGATCTCATCATCTGTATTTTTGTTCTTGGGGCTTGTTTGGGAAGCTAATAAAGAAGTTAAAAACACACTGATGGTCCATGCAATACAAATGAAAATCATGTACTAATCAGAACTCCTAAAAGTAGCTGAATATTAAGGCACTGATCTTTCAGGAAACAAGCTTACTTCATCTGGATCCAACGACTCCAAAAGAAGCCTTTCAGCAGTAGATATAAGCTCATCCGAATGGTCGGTACGGATATTGAATTTTAACACATCAAGATTGACATGGACTGGAAAATATCCAATGTCTATAAGAAGATTTAGGGCTGATGCTGATGTTTTTGCAAGTCCCATCGACTTGAGAATCTGAAGGGATAAAAATATAAAAATAGATGTTGCATCAGTCAGCCTTCAACATATTCAAGTGTGGAACAAGAATAAACATTGGCCTTTAAGAAATTATGATTACATAATAATTTTCTCAAACAAAGTTCTTGTTTATTCTTGTAAAAAGCATTTAGTTACATCGGCAATAAACTTCATAGTCAAGTACCAGCCCAGCAGTTTTCTTTTGATCATCATTCTCACAAGCATCAATTGCATAAGCTTCAAGAGATTTGATTCTGTGTCGAATTTTCTCATCAACCTCCCAGGAAGATTTGGAGGGATTTGCACTTGGAGGCATTGCCTTGGCAGATTTCAGTAACTGCACAAATTCCTGAAATTCCTTCTCAGCAGCCTCCTTAGCAAGCTTTCTACGTTGAAGTTCCTCTACCTGTTTTTTTATTTTTTTTCAAATTAATTAAAAACTCAAATTTAGAATCATTTGAAAGCCAGAAAAAAATTAAGGTTTTTGGTATTATGCATTAGACTGATTAAGGAAAAGCTACCGATTATACGTCAGGGTATCATCTGTACAAAACAGGGTTTTGTATATACTGTTTCAGCTTTTGCCAAGATAAACAGAGTTGTCTATGTCAATTAGCATGTGAGAAAAAATAAATAAGGAATATGAAAGAAATAAAGATGACAAGAATTTAATTATAAGAGGGATGAAAAAGAAGAATCTCATAAATTTCACATTCTCATAAGTATGGAAGTGCTTTATTAGCCTTACATCTAGAACTATAACCATAATTAGAGAGTTGCAGCCTTAAACTTATCCAGGTCCAAACTCATAACATCAGCATAATGGATTGAGATTATAATTCAATAAAAATTGACATTATTTGATTTCTTTTACACCCTATATAATAGAAGGAAATTTAAGATGATTATTGCTTCAATGTGCAGCATCTCCTACCAGTTCATGTAAGAAATAAATATTGCTTTTGCAACTTCTCATTTAGCATTGAAAATTGTATTAGAGAAAAGAAAGGGAAAAAAACAACCATTATTATACCCACTTAGTACAATTATCCAAAGTGTTATAACAAAACACGCTCCTTGCTACAAAATAAAAAAATAAAAAAAATGACACTTTCCAAACCAAAACAAGCTTCACATACAAATCAAATACTTCCTAGTGCGCCAAACCAAAGCAAGCTTGTCAATCATTTTTAACTGACATCATTAAGTACCAAAACATTTAGTACATACCTGCGTAGCAGGCCGAGGCCCATAAACCGAAAAAGAACCTCTCTTCTCTACCACTGTAAAGTAAATTTCATCTTGTGAAAGCAAAAGGTGGGAACAATAGCTTTCAAGAGGCTCCGCACTACCAAAAATTATCTGTTAGGATAAACCAAGGTCATTAGAAGAACAATGACCTAAAACTGAGATGTTTAGGAGATTTACCTCAGCAAACTCCTCAACTGTTACCGACTTATTCTGCTCAAGAAGCTCAGCCCAGGCACACTCAAGCAAAGAGTGATCCTGCATCAAATAAAATAAAATAAAAATGACGGGAGAGAGAGAGAGAGAGAGAGAGAGAGAGAGAGAGAGAGAGAGAGAGGGAGGGATGCATATACAACTAGAAATGTTATATGGCCACCAAATGGAATGGTTCACAATGAAGGTTACTGACCAAATTATTTTCAGCTTTTTGGATAAAATCTGCTATTTCTGTGTGATCAAAATTTTCAGCACCAGGAACAATAAAAGTTATCTGTTGTGGTTTTAATGGAAGTTGTTGCACCATTCTGTAGCAAACAAGAATAAGAGAACAATCAGACTAGTTAAACCATGTAATGCTTAAGTAAGCAATAAAGGCCAACCCCTAGCAACCTATTCAATGCAGCCCAGTAAATTTTTCTACTAGAACCTGATCAGAAACCATCCAGTTCTTCTTGCCATCTGGTTTTTGAGCAACTGCTAGCAATACTCTTTCAGAATCTTTCTTGAACTCAAGTAGAAATCCTTTTTGCAATGCTCGCCTTTCAAGTTTTTGTTCAAGAAGGTCCCCACTTGTTAACCCCAATCTGCAAAGTGGTGTAACTAAATCAAATACAAAGGCATAAAAAATTGCAGTAACACCAGAAATACTGAATCTCAAGCAAATATGGAAGAGACCACAATGTGGGAGAAAATGAACTGGTATCTTGGACCCCTAGAGTGCGTAATACCACTACCAAATGTTCATGTAAGTGTTACATGGAAGCGTGTATGATTGGTAATGACGTTGGTTAGCCCATCAGAAGTATAACACAGAAAAAGCAGTTTTCTTTACAATAGCTTTATCAGCACAAAGTTTGTATCACCATTTATGGTAGTTTAGTGATGGCAGAACCAAATTTTCATTCAACACACACATGAATGCATCAAAGTGACTATACCTGATATATTTAAGAAGAACCAAAAAAGTTGCTCCATCGAGGGAAAAAAAAAGGTGTCCGTCATAGAATCTTAAAAAGACATATACTTGAGTTCATAGAACTTATTGTTGTTATACATTCTCTCATCAGAATATTCTCATTTTCAAGATGGTTTCCCATCTACCATCAATCCTATTATGCCCGGTGGTGAATTATTGTTTCACCCACACATTTAGACTAGCTACTTTTGTGCTATGGTTGTGGAAGATTACGAACTGTGCATGTAAATATAGTCCTGATTTCAGATATGGAGCCTCACATAAGCAGCTCAAGATCACATAAATCCAAATTGAGTACTTATAGAATTTCATAAGAAAATCCAATGCTTAGTAGACAATGAAGCATAGATACAGTTTTTCATTTGTCATTATTGCTTAAACTAATTTTTATTTATAAATTACTGAATGTAGTCATGGGCGCGTTTTTGCCAAAAGATGTTAGTCTACAATTGCATTTTCCATCAGGTTAAAAAAGTCCTCTGGAAGCTGCATGTGAGATCCAGCATTTCACATCTACTCTATCACATTTTGTACTCCTAGTTTCAGATAAACTTAACGCATTTCTGAGAAGAAATTATAAGCTCCTTCCCATATTTTTCTCCAGGCTAGAGCATATTATGGAAGGGATGTGGAGAAAGATACCCAAGCATTTCACTTGAACCAGATAGACATGCTTCAACTGCAACTAAAATGGATCAATTTCAGTAATAGGGGGGAAAAATAAAACCTATTTGTTCTTTTTCACTCATAATTTTCTTTATCCTACCCCACCAAAATGAATTATTGAAAAGACTGAAACCCGTAGAAAACAAAGATTATGTGCAATACTGTTGCTGTCTTGCGTATATTTGTAAATGCAACATGTCCCCCGTGTGCATATTTTTAACTTTACACAACGTTTATGGAATAGTTGATTGTCCAGATCATAATCTCAGTCAACTTTTCAATAATCACTTTTGCCTTTGTGTTTGATTATTTATTAAGCTTGGTTGAGTTCTTCTATCTCGTACGATTTTTCCTAAAACGTACTTGTACATCAGCTCTTTTTTGTTTTTCAACCACGACTTTACAGCCCCATTTCATTTTTAATTTTAGTCTGGTTTCTGATTCCAGTACCTATATAATCCGCTCCATTGGAATCCCCTGATCATCCAAAAATTGTCTACCAAATTCTGTCAAATTTGAGTTTTTTTACGCGAACCAACAACTCTTGAAAAAGCCCTACTCAATCAAGCATGCATTAAAATTAAAAAAGAAAGATTCATCTCCTCCTCCGTTTTACTTGTACCGAGCTTGACTTCAAAAGATCAAGGATTACATACATGCATATAAGTACTTGTGCTCTGTCTAAAAACATACTCATGCTCAGAAATGACGCATAGAGGTGCAATTTGAGACATACTTGGCACTAGCAATAACTTTCCTCCGTTTACGCAAGGCACCGAACTCTTCCATGACCATCTCGACGAGACTTTGAACAGAATAGCGCCGCACAGCGCCATAGCCTTGTAAGTTACTTTGGTCGGGCTGCAAAATTGCGAACCTAAATCTTAATTTCGATGCCTCCCACACTGCAAAGGTCTGAACTGGTGGAGTGACTTCCGAGAGCCGCCAGAGGAGGAGAAGCAGCAGAACGAAGAAACGAACAGGTATTAACCGCCCGAACCACCATTTACAGTCCTCGACACCAGAAGTACCGAGTTGCAGCGCTCATATAGAGAGAGAAAGAAAAAAACAAACTTCTGTTATGCGTCAGCGTACGTAGAGAGAGGCCGGTAGGGATGAAGGACGAGAAGCAGAGTTGCGAGGATTTGACGATATGAGGGAGCTCGGACCGTGAGAGACACCAGAGCTTGCGAAAGAAAGAGATGTTGTTCAATTTACGAAAATGTCCCTCACCCGGTTCGCAGTTTGCCAGTAAAAAGCAGGCCCGGCCTGGCTCAGCCAGCCTGGTCCACAAATCGTCTACAGAAGTGGGCAATAAACATGTATAAAAAAAATTATGTAAATAAACTATTCTAGTATTATCTATTTATTGGTGATCATTGCTTTTGCAACATATATATTTTTAAAAAAATAACTTACAATTATGTAGACATAAATTTCTTAAATTAAATTTAAATTTGTTATACAATTATCAAAAATAACCTGTTTTCTCTTTCAAAAGCAGAAGGCCCTATTTTCGAGCATTATTCTAACTTAGAATATACCACTAAGAAGGTGTAGCACATAGATTGAACACATGGGTTCTTAGAAATTAGCAGAAATTTCCAAGTCAATAACAATTTATTCAAACGACTTCTGCAAGGAACTTGTCAATTCTTTTGCAAATGAATGAGCTACTATTTCCACACACAATGTCAATTTACAAGAGGGAAATAGTGAATGGTATTTTGAGAAGTTAAGCCTGCAAATTTCTACATCAAAATGAATTATAACATCTGCAATCCCTGCATCTCGAATCAACTATCGGCAAAGCTGACTGCATAGCCCTTCTATTTGAGAAGATGTTGCATTTGCCAATGTATATGTCGCGGTCTTGCCATTGTTTGAGCATGTTAAGATTAGCTGATCACCCACCTGGTTAGACTGCAAGAACGACATTGACATGCTTGATAAATTCATTGGTTTTTGTCTCATTACTTTCCTTTTCAGGCTTGTGCATTCAGCTTGTTAAAACCCAAAAATACAGAAGATAAAGATAGTGTAACTTCTATACTTGTGGCTCTCTAGCCTGGAAGATCAAAAATTATGATATCCTGACTTTTGGGCAAAAAACTAAATGCATAAGTTCAAAAAGTCAGATCATGAAACTCAATTCATGATTAACTCTATTGAAATGTGCAGAGGATGGGGAAGAGAAAAAGGGGACTGTCAGTTGTCACTGCCACTTACCAAGCAGAAGATAGACTTTGCACCACACTTCCACCTTGAAGTGGGAACACAACTCAAATAGTGGCACCAAGAGCAGTGATCGTTTGCATCATAACCATGGAGCAGCAGCACCAGGCCAAAAGTAAACCTGTTAAGAATCGGTATCACTTCTTCTAAGTTAATTATGGCATACACATAAAATCAGCATATATTCTAACTCAGTTGTGCATACACCTAAGTCCAAGCAAAGAAAACCCAAACAAGTAATAAATAACCTCAATTTAGCAGTAATCCAATTCCAATATATGGATTTAGAAGTCTGATGGCCAACTAGAAATTTGGGGAAAGAGATTGGATGGGGTAGAGACAAGTTTCAAACAAGCAGCTTGTCTAATGAACCCACAGACAATATGCTTTTTGTGAACAAATAAACTCTGTCTGTCATTGCCAAATAGTTATGCATGGTGAGCAACTTCAAAGAATTGAAATTACTTCTATGATAAAAAAACCAGATACCTTTTTTTTTTTTTTTTTTTTTTAACAGGGTGTGGGATTGAGAAAGAAGAAGTTAAGCTTACCCTACGGTGAGAAGGATTAAGGAAACAATCCACAATATGCACTGATAAGTCTTGAATTTAGGTTTGGCTGAATTGGTAGTGTGTCCAGGAGGAGCATATTTTTGCCTAACCCATCCAAACTGAGGCTTGATCAAGAACAAAAAGCCAAGAAGAAAACCAGAGAGAAAGCCACCAATGTGAGCGAAGTTGTCCACATGTGGGAGGATCCCCACAGCCAGATTGAATTACAATGATGACCACAAGGGTCAATAATGCAGCCACCTAGAAAAATAGGGAATTGTGAGATGATGATTGACAACAAGGATCCCATTTAACCAAATTTTCATACTTGTAAAAGGTCAGACTTAAAAGCAGATAAATGGATACCTTGTTAACGTACATGGTCCAATTAGTAATGAGTTCAGAAAGCATGCCTCCTAGTAATCCAAAAAGTGCACCAGAAGCACCAACTGAGATACTAGATTGGATAAAGAGCGCTGACAACAAACTCCCACCAAAACCAGAGATCAGATACAGCAGCCCGATCCGCACTGAAAAACCACACAATAAAAAGGAGAGAAATAAAAAAAATGTGAATTTGGGATACATGCGATCTCTCTTGCAGAAGGTATGGTCATGGAAAATCTAAGAACAATATGTAATGAATAATTCTGTTACATCTCACCACTTAATCCTCCTTTCCTTCCCTTCCCCTTCCATTCCCACCTCCTTCAAAATGATAGACTAAATCATGTATAAAACAATTAACTTAATATCCTAAAGGGGAAAAAAGTAAGAAGGAAAAAAGAACAGCTAACAACTTGTATTAATAATTATGAGTAGCTACCAGCTGTGAAATCAACATAAGACCTTCTTTTCTGATATATACAGTTTGTTAGCAAACACCTCCCATGATTATCAGTTGAGATCTTAAGCAGAAGTCAAAATGCAGTGTGGTTGTTTGTTTGTGCATGGCAATGCTGGAAAGAGATGGAGCAAGGACTTGAATACATACCAAAACCAAATTCTTGCTCAAGTCGAATGCCAATGACTAAAAGACTCAACATATTGGCAAGTAAATGTAAAACTCCGGCATGTAGCCAGATGCAAGTGATAAGGCGCCATCCTTGGTGTCTGTGGACCACTTTACTCACATCTAATGCCCCCATCTTCTCTAGCCTAAGGATATAAACATGAAAAACTGTCTCAGTTCTAACAGCAATCATTCTTCATATCGTCTTATATTATCACACATCAAAGCAATCATTCTTCCTGTCATCTTTAATTATTCACATGTGGAAATGGTAAATTGTAATCCTACTTTTAACATGAAATTCATCTAAATCTACTTTTAGCACGCACACATGCACACGCAGGGTCCAGATACTTCAGAGATACAGTAGCATTCAAATCACTTTCCTAACCAGTCTGATTGAAGGAAGGCACGGGTAAATAATAGTAATGACACAAAAAAAAAAAGAAAAAAAAAGGAAGAAAAGAAACATGTGTTGCCTGAATGAGTGTGGTTGCTAAGCAGATATTCGTATAGATGCATGATAAAGATCACAAGGCAAGAGAGTACGAATTTATAAACAAAAAAACACTTAACAAGAATTATAGTACATGTGCGCACATGTACAGACACAGATTTTAAGAATAAGATTAGCATTATCCACTGAAATTACAAATCTGGTCGTTTACAGAATTGAAATCAACAAAAGCAAGTGAGATTATGATTAAAATTTCATTCGAGTAAGCTATGCTACTCTTTTCCTCAACAAATACAAAATAAATTCAATATTACCAAGGGGCTGAAATTTGTGTCGTCCTTAGCTATCAATTTAGCTATCTCTAGGCAAGCAAAACCCAGTATTGTAGTTCAACTTATATTAAAGCCATGTCCAATTCAATGAATAACACCCCGAGACAAGAAAACAATAATAAAAAACAGAATAAGGACCAAAGAACCAGCCCACTGCTGTTGCGAGAAATGACAAACAATTTCAGTTAAGCATGCTCAACAGCTTTCTAGCAGAATTTACACTGATGATACCAAATGCATTAAACCATGTCGCAGGCCCAAATTAAAATGTCGAATTGAGCTCGAATTTTAATCCCGGTCATTTCATCTTCACATATCTCCGCATCTAAGAACTTACGTGGACGACGAAGGCCGAGAAGTGGATTTTCCTTCATGGGCTGAAACGAGAATCGACCCAGGAACCCTGCAACACAGGAGACAGAGTTCTTGGGACAATCATTGACGTACATGGTGACTGCGAAGCTCACGACATTAACCAACACAAACGACAGCGTCAACCACGGCTTCCACTTTTTAAAGTGCTTAATTTGTCCGACCACAGAGGGGCCCGAGCCGCCGTCGTGGGCGGCTCCACCGCCTCCACGTCCACCGGTGGACCACGTTGCCGGGCTTCGACGAGTGGCCGCCGCCGATTGGAGACTCCGGCGGCGGGTCTTGCGCCATCGCTGCTCAAATTGGCAGTACGAGGGAGAATTCGCCTGGCAATTTCGAGAATGCCAAAGATTTGGGAGATATGAGACAGATGCGTTTGAGGAAATGCCAAAGGGGGTTTACGCTAAGTTCTAAGCTTGAGGACGAGGCCAAAAGCCAAGAGGTTAACCAAATACTCCTTCTCTGTCTTTCCCTGCCGCCGGTTCAAGATATACCATTTCTTAATTCCACTCTGTCTCTCTCTCTCTCTACCCCCAACCTTCTTTTGTCCTTCCGATTTTCCTTTTTTGTTTTTGAGCAAAGTCTTTTTTGATTGATATTTTATGTTTCTCTTTTTGGGTCCAATGCTATTTTATGAAAAGAAACTACAGTTATTAAAACCTAAAAAGAATCAAAATCTTTATTTTTTCAGCTTGAAAGAAGTATATAACTATTTTCAAATTTCATCTAGCTCTCCATTCTATTGAATCATGTTCTAAAAAGGAGTTTAGAAAGTCAGTTTTAAGTGAAACAGGAAATGCCATATTATGGCGAAGTTGTAGATGCCAGAGAGAGAGAGAGAGAGAGAGAGAGAGAGAGCCAGTCACAAAATTATAAACAATTTTTGTATTAATTTTGTAGATTTCTTTTAGAAAAAATAAGGATTGCCCTTTAGAAAAAAATAAGGATTATCACTTTTGGCCTTCTATACCATTGGGAAATTCTCTCTGTTCTCAAATTTACATTTTTTTCCCTTATTTTCTCCTTTCTAAACCAATGACAATTGTTCTTCCACCTAATTTTCCAAATCTAGCAAGGCAGTTAGAATTCTTAATTTTACATTTTTTTCTTATTTTCTCCTTTCTAAGCCAAGGGAAAATGTTCTTCCACCTAATATCTAAAGCTAGTTAGGCAGTTAGAAATCTTAATTTTTCTTTTACCTAACTGATAAACGCACAAAGATAAGTGTACTTAAACAGAAAGTAGACAGCATGCCTAAATTACATTGATGGTCCTTACTGGTTTGGATTGAGTGGCACTTTGTGTTTTCAATTTTCTCACTAACAGATCCTATATTTTCTATTATGTACCAATGCAGTCCTTCATTTTATTCGGTCAAATCTCACTATCAAGTGGCCGCATAAACAACACATATAAAGATGTTATGGTCATTATATATCTATAACATTATATAATAATAGTATTGATTTATATGATTTGTTTTTAGTGTCATTTTTAGTCCTTAATTATAATTCTAAGTTACCCAATTTTAATCATTATGATTTCAATTTGCGACTATTCTATTCTTCTATTTATACTTATCAGAATTCTATTGCCAAGTTGTAATGTGAGCAAGATGTGAATGGTAGTTTTGGTTTTTTTTTTCTTTTTTTAATTTTTCACATCCTGTAACAACTATGATGCTCCCATGGCCTAATCACCTAGAACCAACTGTTGGTGACTCTCATCATTAAAAATCTTATCATGTTATGTGACATTTCCGTAATATATAACAACTTATAATGGATGGAATGAAGTAGATGGTTGAAATGATGGGCATAAAAGCAAGTGGGGAAGAGATAGAGAGTTCCAATGGTGGGCAAAAAGGAAAGGGAAGGGAAGGGAATGGATATTATGATGGGTGTGGAGCATGATAGACCAATCAAACTCTCTCTTTATCTTCCCCCTTTCTGTCACTCCTTTTTTACACACATTTTGTGCTAATATCATAGTCAGTAGGGTGAGATTATTGAGGGAGATAGAATATGAAATTAGCGTTAGTCAAAGATGACAAGGTGGGGTTGGTGGTTGGTAGAGGAGGGATAAGGTAACGTGTTTGCATGCACCACAAAGTTTTATAGGGTAAAATTATGAGAAGAATAGAATGATGGAACCGACATTGGCCAGATGTTTGGCGGGAATGGTGATGGTTGGTGAACTGAATTAGATGGGATGGGATAAAAGAATCGTGCACACACTCTCTTTCCCTCGCATTTGTGCCAATATTATTAGAGGTTGATTTAAGTAAATTTCAAGAAAAGATAAATAATAAGGTTACCATTAAATGAATTGTAAATTAATTTTTCATGTATTGCTTGCTCATGTGATCAACTCGTGTTAGAATAGTATCGGGTATCCCATATTATTCGTGAAAAGATTAATATGTAATCGTGAAGAAAAATTTCAGTCTATGAGTTAATTTTAGAGGTTAAGAAAACTCAAAATCCACTTATTATTAGTATTAAAGCCTAAATTATAATATCTCTATGAGGGTATCTAGATTTGTTGGACATCCTATATTGATTAGAAAAGGAGTTTGTTATCATAGTATCTAGATTTGTTGCACATCCCGTATTAGTTATAGAAGGAATTTGTTATAATAGTGTCACTCCATGAATGAGATTTTGGAGCCGAGAAGATTCAAAAGTTATACATCAAATAGGCATGTGTCATAGGTCATTACCCTCCATGAATGAGATTTTGGAGCCGAGAAGATTTAAAAGCTATATATCAAATATCCGAGAAGATTCAAAAACTATATATCAAATAGGCATGTGTCACAAGCCATTACCCTCCATAAATGAGATTTTGGAGTTGAGAAGATTCAAAAGCTATCTATCAAATAGGCATGTGTCATAGGTCATTACCCTTTCTCCAAAAAGTTAACCTATTAGAGTGTGTAATGTCTATACTTATAAGTCTAGAACCTTCTCTTTTTCTATCTGATATGGGAAAGTGACATTCTCACCCACCTAATCCACCCTTGTCACAGATGGGGCCACCTGTCTACCTTACCTCAGGTGCTTGTATGAGATGTCAAAGTCGGGTTCAAGTCAATTCTGATACTACTTGTCACGGGTCATTACCCTCTTTTCAAAAGATTAATTTATTAAAGTGTGTAATGCCCATTTTTATAAATTCAGGACACTTCCTTTTGCTATCTAACATGGAAAGGTGACACATGGGTGAAATGATGAAATTAGTGTACAATGGGAAACTATAGCCACGGATTTAGTGATCCAAGTAAAAATACAAGGACCAAAGTGGCACTTGTTTTAAACCACAAGGACTAATAGCGTAATTTGGCCATAAACAAGAATTAAATAAAAAAAAAAAGAACAGTTTTTTTTTTTTTTTTTAATGAGTAACCAAACAACGCTTGCAATGCAACAATAACCAGACAATGAGAAGCTAATGGTGAGGTTAATGTGCCTGGTTTCAATCAGAAACGGGGAGATTAGAATAGTTTTGATGTCGGCATCAAGCTTAATTTGTCAACAAGACTAGAGAGACATGCTGTTGCACCTAATATCCAGCCAACCTTACCCGCCAGTCATGGGGTTGGAACCTGGCATCACGGTTGTTTCAAATATTTCTGCTGCACCGGTTTCTGAAAGGGAAAAGCCTATCAACAACCGCCACCTCGTAACACCTGTCCTCCATTGTAAATATCCGCCGATCGCTGAAAAAAATTAAATTATAAGGGTTGTTTTCCCTCATTCTTTTTGCATTAAGCAAAACTAAGAATCTCGTAATAGTAAATTTTAACCCTGAATTGGTTTAAATTTGATTTAATTATTTAAAATATTTAATTAATAAAAATTATAATAAATATAATCTAATTAAAATTTTTGTAATGTAAAATAATTTGAGTGTCTATGAATTTTGTCTGGCTAATCTATTAAATATACCTGAACATAATATATATATATATATATTACATGAGAAGAGATCAATTGATCAGGATAAATATAAAAAATTTTACACTAAATCTTATACATTTATTTGGTCAAAATCAACGGATAAAATTTGGTATAAAGTTTTTTACACTTACACTGATATCAATTGATCCCTTTCTCATTATATATAATATATATGATATAGAATATTTTATAATATTATATGTAGTATAATATGAACTTAATTTCTCTCATGCTTTAATTAATAATTTATTTTTTAAAAATAAAATTTAGAGACATATTTTTATTTTTATTAAATGAGAAATATATATATTGATAAATTAAATAATATTGTTATGCATTACTGACAAGTCAAGCCCATATGTAATTATTTGTGGTGGATCAAAATGTAATTTTATTAAATTAATATTTTTAAAATTTTAAATTATTTATTAATTTATATATTTCTAAAAATTTTTATTTTAAATTTGAATTATATTTTTTTAATTTAAAAGAATAAATATATAATAATGCAAGATTTCGGATTCAAATTATTGTTTTAATATTGAATTTTATTTAAATTTAAATATAATAACACCTATCATATATTTTATAAAATTTTAAATTAAATTTAAATATAATATATTAATATCATATTTAAATATAAATTTATTATAATATGATTCAAATATAATCTGTTAACAGTTGTACGTAAATCACGGATTTCCGTCGCGCGAGGACTGCGCCGTGAGTTGGGTCAAATAACTAGCCCAAACGGAGATGTCCATGTCAAAGTCCAAACAGAAGGTGCCTGAACCTCATCCTTTTACAGGGCTGCAAGGATTCCACAACCTCTGTGACCCCAATACGATCATTATCTATACTTCGACTGACAATAGTGCAAAGATAGGAAATCCCTACTAATGCCACACATGAAAAAAGATGCCAGCAGTAAGGACCATGGCTTTTAAAATTCAATTTTATTTAAAAAATGTTAAGCAATAAATAATAAAATTAGAGGGTGTGTTAATTAATAGTTTAGCATAATGTGGTAGCAAAATAAAATTTGTGTTGTTTTGGGCTTATATTCATCTTTTTAAACCAAGAAAAACCTAAAAAATCCTTATAAATTGGATTTTTTTGAAAATAAATTTTTTTTGGGGGGTACCCTTGTGAAGTTGGGAAATTCTACGAACGAGAAGACAAGCCTAGATCTCTCTATCCTGGGTAGGGATTGGCCGGACCTCCCTGAATTTGACATTTTGAGAGTAACTGAGAGATAATGGGTTAGTTATCGCCGCTTTCCAACGTTGTTGGGGTCGATGGTGGGGCATCTGTTCTTACACCATGTTTGTATCTTCCCAATTTATTAAAAGCTCAGTCTGTCAATATTCCCTGCACCACCCATATGGAATCTCTACAAGAACAACATACAGTAGAACCACAAAATGTGAAGAATTGCCACTAAAAAGTGGGAAATTTGTGGTCACTAATTTATCTCCTCCTTCATAGGTCCAACCAATAAGTGGACATGATGGATTTCAAGTTGGGTTTTGGCCTGATTTGCTAAAAGCCAAAAGCCAGTTAGTTATTAGCTTATCAAGGTCCCAAACAGAGCATATGGGCCTATGGGGCTTCTCATTTCGGGGCCTCAGAAAGTTGAAAAGGCACCACTTTCTTACTCCTTTTCTTGTACTATATCATTATATTTGTGCCCATTATATTCTAACCCCAACTGCCCATAGATGTCTTGGATGGATCACCTGGCTTTTCTCTTTTCATTAATGGAAAAGCACCCGGTTTCAAAATTGCAAACTAGGCGAGAAAAATAAATAAATAAACTAATTGCTCCATTTTCCAAGGTGTTGAAGAAACTTTTGGTACTCGATTTTATTGGCTCGTACAATTTCTTCCCTAGATTATGGTGCATAGTGCGGGGCACTTGTGCCCTTGTACGTCAAGTAGAGGTTGGAAGATCACAAGAAACTTGAGAAAGAATGATGTTAGTGGAGTCAGCTGCTAGCCTTTCCTGAATTCGTCTTTCACCGTTACAGAGTTACGGAGTCATCGCCCTCTTGATATTTAGAAAATTTGTATTTTAGTTATTAAAATTTATCGGTTAATATAAAATAATATTTTAACATTAATTTTTTTATTTTAAATTATTAATTAACTCCCTTAATTTTAGATTTATTTTAAACTTAGCTACAAAATTTTATAAATCTTTCAGTAGGTACAAAAATTAAAAAGTTGGATAGGCATTTTATAATAATTTTTTAGTTACAAAATTTTGAGGGTGCATGTGGCCGCCCTCATTCCTGTATAGCTCCGCTAGTGATGCGAGTTGGTAGTTTATTAAAATAACTAAAAGATAAACAAAATGTAAATTCAAATATTTTTTAAACTAAAATGAATACAAAAAAAAAACTTAAAAGTGATGTCAAATAAAACTTAAAGTTAACAACTTTTAATATATATATATATAGAAATACGTGTGTGTAAAAAAACTTTTACTTATTCAAATAATAATTAAAGTAAAGTAGAATCAGAAATGATGAATCTCTTTATAATAAATCAATCCATTTTATAAGTTCATTATTATGAATAATTCTTACAAAGAATTAGACTAATGATATATGCAATACTTGAATTTTTGTTGTAAATACTACATAGTTGATTCTTATTATTCAAATATTACAAGTAGAATAGGAATATCTATCGACAAAAGAATTACCCTAATATAATCATTTTATGACTATTAAGAACAAATCAAATTAGATGATTTTATTTCTCATTCTTTCTAAATTACTTATATATATACATATATATACACACATGTTAACAATATATATAAAAATTTCAAATGATGGATCAGTCAAGATTCATCGAAAGTGTATATTTTTTTTTTATTATTCAACCAATGAAATTTTGATTCTTGCTGATTAAATAAAGCCAATAAAGATCCAATTCAAAAGCCTAGAATAATAAAGAAAGACAACATTATTACAAGCACATAGGTGTTGATACTTGCATAATCACCTAAAGCCTATGACCAACACCAAGCTATGTTGGACATGAAGTGGAGGGCTATGCTATAGAGTCCTAAGCACTTCACATTTAATTACATGCATACTAACAAAATTAACTTAGTAATTAAATTTTAAAAAGTCAGAGGGTGGGTACATAATTAATTTAAATTAATATTAAGTATACAAAACATTAATTTGCAATACCAAATATTCCGGTGGATTCCCTCAATTTTATTTTTCTTTTTCAAATTTAATTAAAAATAACAAATTAAATATGACTTTTAATAATAATTTTTTGTGAGGGCCTAAAGGTCAAAAACGTTCTGTAAATACCGGTCAACCGCCGTCTCAATTGAAACCTCGTCTCGGTTGCCTGCCCGTGAAAATGTGCGGTGTTGCTTTCCCCCCAGATCCATTAGCACAGCACGTGCACGCTATGAGCGTTCCCCACGTGGTTGGGATCGAGGCCAGATTCGTAATTGCACGCTCAAAAGCGAAGGTGAAATGCGGAGTGTGGCTACGTGTCAGACTAGAGACAAACTGGGGGAAAAAGTAGTGTGTACCGAATCAAACTGTACTTTTCTCGCGACACGTGGCGGTGCGTGACGGGCTGAAGCCAGATTGGTCCGTTACTTAAATTCCAAGAAGACAACTTCACCAGCGCTTTCATTGAGAGTGACCGCTATATCCGGTCCCATTTTAAAGACCGGAATCAACGGCAGCGACTATTTTCTTCTCTCCCTTAAGCAGAGCCTTCCCTGAATCCTTCCCTCGGTCCTGCACACTTCTTAGTTCATCCTTCACTCTCTCTCTCTCTCCCACCAGTTTGCTAGGGTTTCTGCGAGGTTCGTTTCTTTCAATTCTTCTTGAATTGTTTTCTTATCTGCAACTTATTTTTCTAGGGTTTTTGAAGCAATTGGAGCTCTGAGATTATAGTTCTGTAATGTAGGATGAATCTAGTGATTAATCTCTGTTCTTAGAGTCCTTTGATCCAATTAGATTGTCACATTACACTTCTCTTTCTGACCTGATAACCTCCATCTTTACATTTACCTTGATCTAATTAGTTTTTTTTTTTATTTTTTTGAATACTAATACACAGTAAGTAAGTAACTGTTTCTGGGTTTAACAATTTCGCGTTTGCAAATAATTCAGGCAGAGAAACATTGCCCAATTTGATATTTTGGGGGTGTTGACTTTGAATTATTTTGGTATAGTATTTGCGACGTAGATGGTAATGGATCCAAGGCTGCGTGGATATTTGACTTCCATGGATGGAGTACAATTCAGGGATCAATCGGAGTCATTTTTCCCGGATCAGAACTTAATCGGAGGACCTAGATTTGAGAACACCTCTTTAAATCTCAACTTTGGAGGAATCCAGTTCCCTCCAAACGATCCTTCTTCGGCTAATGCAGTCCCGACCTTGAATCTGTCCGCCGAAGAGGATCCTCAGGAGGAGGACTGCGATTTTTCTGATGCTGTTTTGAAGTACATAAGCCAGATTCTAATGGAAGAAGACATGGAAGACAAGACTTGCATGCTTCACGAGTCGTTGGATCTTCAAGCCGCAGAGAAGTCATTCTATGAGGTTCTTGGAAAGAAGTATCCACCTTCTCCGGAGACTTGTGCTGGCCAAAGTGGTGAAAGTGCTGGTTGTTATTTATCTGGTAGTTACGGTAACTATATCAATAGCAGCAGTAACGGTAGTGATTGCATAATTGGTCCAAGCTGGACTAGCAGTCTAGTAAACCGCGGTGCCTCTTCTGTACAAAGTCTTCCTGTGTATAACAAATCTCTCTCATCTGTTAGTTCATCAAATAGCCCAAACAATATTATTGATGGATTTGTGGATTCTCCTATAAGCCCTCTTCAGGTCTCCGATTTTTATGGTGGGAACCAATCTATTTGGCAGTTTAGGAAGGGGGCTGAAGAAGCAAGGAAGTTCCTTCCAAGCAATAATGAACTGTTAATTAATTTTGAGGGCAATACGGTGTCCCCTTGGGAGCCAAAGGAAGAAACAAGTAAATTCAATGTCAAGGCAGAGAAAATAGAGGAGGGTGAGCCCTCAACTACAGGGTTGAGAGGGAAGAAGAATCCTCACCGGGAGGAGATAGACTTAGAAGAGGAAAGGAGTAGCAAGCAGGCAGCAGTTTTTCCAGAATCAGTTGTGCGGTCAGAGATGTTCGATACAGTCTTACTCTGTAGCATGGGAAAGGCGCGACTGCCCTGAAGGCTTACCGTGAAGTCTTGAGGAATAAAGCCAACAATAAAATGCTGCAGAATGAGCAATCTAAAGGACCTAAAAATGGAAGGGTCGTGGTAAGAAAACAAATGGCAAGAGGGAAGTGATAGACTTGCGGACTCTCTTGATTAATTGTGCTCAAGCTGTTGCAGTTGATGATCATAGGACTGCGAATGAATTGCTGAAACAAATCAGGCAACATTCTTCCCCTTTTGGAGATGGGAATCAGAGACTGGCCCAGTGTTTTGCTGATGGTCTTGCGGCACGGTTGGCTGGAACAGGCAGCCAGATCTACAAAGCCCTTGTCAGCAAAAGAAACATCTGCTGCTGATTACTTGAAAGCTTACTATCTATATCTGGCATCGTGCCCATTCAGGAAGATTTCAAATTTCATTGCGAACAAGACAATAATGGACAAAGCAAAGAATTCAATGAGACTGCACGTTATAGATTTTGGTATCCTTTATGGTTTCCAGTGGCCCACCCTCATTCAGCGTATAGCTCCACGAGAAGGTGGCCCTCCGAAGATTCGGATCACCGGAATTGAGTTTCCCCAACCGGGCTTCCGCCCAGCAGCAGGAATTGAGGAGACGGGACGGCGCCTGGCAGATTATGCCCAGAGTTTCGGAGTCCCGTTTGAGTACAACTGCATAGCAAAGAAATGGGATTGTATCAAACTTGAAGATTTGCATATTGAAAAGGATGAGTTTCTTGTAGTCAATTGTTTGTATAGATCTCAGACCCTACATGATGAGACTGTTTTGGCAAATAGTTCTAGAGACACGGTTCTAAATCTGATCCGTAAAATCAATCCTGACCTCTTCATCCATGGAATTCTAAACGGAGCCTATAATGCCCCATTCTTTGTTACCCGGTTCCGAGAGGCTCTATTCCACTTCTCGGCTTTGTTTGATATACTAGAGACAAATGTGCCCCGTGAGCATCACGAGAGGATGCTTATTGAGAGAGAGATCTTTGGGAAGGAAGCAATGAATGTGATAGCTTGTGAGGGGTGGGAGAGAGTGGAGAGACCCGAGACGTATAAGCAGTGGCGTGTTCGGAATCTGAGGGCGGGCTTTACACAAATCCCTTTTGATAGAGAGATTGTGAAAAAGGCAATAGACAAGGTGAGGTCGAGCTACCATAAAGATTTTCTGATTGATGAAGATAGCCAGTGGCTGCTTCAGGGATGGAAAGGGCGAACTATACATGCCATTTCTTGTTGGAAACCCCTTTAGAGAACTTCTAGAGGCGTAAGCTCATCAGTTGTTGGGATTGGGAGAATGCACGTCCATGTGGCACTACTTGACTTGCCAAAAGTAAGCTCTTTTCGAACTTTGTCTATCTAGTTTGTCTGCTTTTCATGATATTTCTTCCCCTTATTGCTAATTTATTTTACTTGCCACTGATGGATTTGCAAACTAACAGATCTAACCCAGCTGATTATGGATAGCTGCTGCCGATCACGGCTAGACAAAGGCAGATCACGTTGCCTTTGTATCTTGTACCGAGTACAGTTTGTTACAGAATGCAAGATGGAATTAGATTTTTTTTTCCCCCTTTTGCTCTCTCTCGCTTTCTCTGCACATGACTTGCCTGTGTCCTGAGCATTTACCGTGAACTAAAGCAAAGTTACTTCTTCTTGCGGAGTTGTTAATAGCTTCCTCCTGCTAACTCATTCCCTTACACCCGCCTCAGAAATTCCCGGGTAGATTCTCCAAAGGCTGAACTGAGTAGAATAGTAATTTCATTTTCAAAATTACTACTTGAAAGGTTTCCTTTTCAGTTCCCGTTCCAGCCAACACTTATAGAGCTCTCTGTATTCAGAATGATTCCAGCTTAAGGTTAAAAGTAGAGAATTCAAAGTGCAGTTTGGAAGCACGTGGAATATCGTAACAAAGGGAATGGAAATCGCTCTGTACGTTGGCTCTCACCTTGCACTAAAATGCTCTGAAATTTGTTGTACCTTTTTTCGATTCACAAGGCTTTTTTTTTTTTTTTTTTTTTTTTTTTGGGGGGGGGGGGGGTGGTGGGGAACCTAAAATGCTGCAGAGAAACATGCCACGGAAAAATATGAGTAATGAATCCGGACAACGGCGACGTCCAAGTCCAATGTTTGATTCAACCCAGATCCTGGATAGAAAATTTAAACTTGGAAAAATAAAGTAAGGGTTTTTCTCGAGTTCAGCTGCGAAAATGACGGGGGAGATTTATTATAATTAAGGTTGCAAAGTTGTCCCATTACTTCCAAGACGGGCACATTTCAGGGGTTGGATTGGACATCTTCACCCTGTACAAATATAATAAAACTTAAAAGGCAAATTACAAGTCATGCGTGCATTCTTATGTTGGGACCCCTGCTTTGTCTCCTGAACATTCTCTGCAGTTATTGATTCTAGTTGATCCTTTGGATTCTTAAATAGTAAGCATTGACAGGTTGCTCTATAAAAAATGATTAACAAATAGTAATATATAATTTATACGGTAAGTGGAAGAGAGAGTTGTGCTAAGTAAATGATCTGGAACCTGGACCTGATTTTTCAAGTTATTCTGTGTTAAACGAGTACAGAACAGTCACTATCTTCTGATTTTATTTTATCATTATTTTGTTTGAGTTGATCTATTACGGGTAGATTAATGACGAAGGAAACATAAAAATAAGCAACGTAAAAAGACTCCTGGTCGGGGCATGGAACTTAACTTACACCATGCTAGTTCTTTAATATACATCATTCTGTGAGCTATCATGCAAACTAGTCCCGAGCTCGAGATGGAGTTATCATAGGAAATCTGAGCTGCCACTGGAAACCCACTGCTAGGCCCCTGTAAATCCCGATCATCAATGGAGAGATAGGTTGAAAGTTTTTCACTGGGTTGGTGTGGTAATTAGACGGATACGCCCGAGTTGTGTTCCACATGCTGCAAACAGGAGTTAAAGAGAAAAACTTGATAACAAGTAGGATCATTTCAACCAAATCATTTTAGGAAAGTAAAGGGGAATAATAAAGCAATCCTTAAACCCCTACACCTAAACGTCCCTTCCCCCAGTTAGAGATCAAGTTGATCTTAAAGAAGTCATCCACGGCACTAATGATTCTAAAAGCAGTGATTTAGCCTAAGTTTTGTATCTTATTCTTCTGTGCCCTGTAAGTTCAGATGCAACACCAGATCATGGAAGCCTATCTGATCTCATGATCACGAACATGGACAAGTGTAAGCAATAAAGGGAGGTTGTTAGACAAAAACAGTATCCATATATGGAGTTAATCAAAATGAATATCCATCATTTTCATTAGAGACTTGTCAATGTAATCCTTTTCCTCTTCACTAACAAGTAGAGAATGATCAAAGCATTACTTATTGTCTTAAAAATCCTTGACTTTGAAGGAATTTTAAAGGAATTGCAAGATCAAATATGCCCTCAAACTATGGTTCGAATACAAGCTTCAAAGGACCCTTGTATTCCCCATAACCACCTGTAGGCTTCTAAATAATACATAGAATATTCTATATTAGCTCTAATCCCAGAATCAAGGATTCTCATCATGTCTCATTTACCAAGGCTCCTTAAGTGATACACTACAAAAACTTGGAGCACCAATGGTTTTAATAGCAAAGAATGTCTTTCTCTGAGCTGTTCGTCAAAGGTGACTGCAAGTATTCAATACAGAAGAAGAAGACAAAAAAAAAAAAGAAAAAGAAATCAATCAATTTCTTTCCAACCAAGGAATGCCTTGTCCGAGAAGCTTGGTAGAATTTTACATTCAATCAACAGAAGTAGTAGTCTGCCCTCAAATCAGCTTTCAACCCACCTGTCTCCTAGTGAAAAACACTAAACACATCCAGTTACATATCAACTATTACTGCATAACAAATGTCTCCCATGCTCTTATCCTAGAAAAAGGCCCAAGTCCCAACAAATATCCAGCCTGATTATCAGAAACCATGTTTTATATTCACATAAATTATCCCAAACTGCACATAACCACAACAATATAAAAGCCCATCACACTATATTGGCGAAGTGCAATAACCCTTGTAAGAAATTAATGAACAACAAACAACTAGAAAGAGCAAAAGAGTAGCTGTGACCAAACACAGAATGCCAATAGCACAATGGCATTGGGACCTTAATACCCAAGCATATCCAGGTACTTTAAACCGGTAATACATAAAAAACAAAATTTATATTATCAATGTATATGATTTTACTTTAACCAACAAAGTGAAATTATAAACCATAACTTCAGACAAAATGGGTGTGGAATCGCTGCAGCACGAGTGAAATGAACGTAATGGAAAAGGACACACAGGGCTTACATGAATCCATGAATCAAAAAGGGATAGTAAGTACCGTTTACTTTGAATTCCAAATATCAATTTTCTCGTTCATCTATTGTAATTTTCTCATCAAACCATCGCGGGGATCAAATCCAGACCCACCTGAAAGATATGAAGTGCATTTAGCTTCATTGCAGATGGCTGGGAAGCAACGAAAACAACTCAAGCAAACACAATTCC